CCGGTAAAAAGATCGTTCTAGAACCTCAATTCAAGATCATAGGCGATATAACAACAGATCGGGTCGACCATTCAATCAAGAAAATATAAATTCCTTGCTTGAAGATTTGCTGTGTATTACCGAAGACAAAGCGAATACAGTGACGTGGTGTCATGCAAAATATAATGTAACTTGAAAGCACCTACCACACAAACAAGGGAAGCGGACTGCTGATGAAGCACTCGGAGATGATTGTGATTACCTCTACGGGATCGTCACCACAGATCGCTGATGTAATAAATACAAGCATACTAACTATTGACTTCAAATATTAGCCAACAGACTAACATTTCATTTTGTATACACCGGAAAAAATTTATCGCACAAAAACCGAGTATCACATCATACCGATACTGACCGAAGACGTTTTGAAAGATGACGTCGAACTTCGCAAAAGTGTGGAGGTGATTGTGAGTTGGTCGAAGGACAGTGTCGACATGGAGAAGTCTCCAGCTAAAAGAAAACGAGGGCTGCGAATTATATCAATAAATGAATCAGATTTTGGGTGTGGGTAGTTATAGTATATTAATTTTGCATGTTAACGTTTTTTATTAATAAAGTTGCCTGTATGGGTCACATGACATTAACACGCGTAACACATCATTATACACAATTTTTAAAAAAAGACCTTGAAAAAAAACGTGTAGTTATATTCGACATTGTAATTAATTTTTATCGCTATTAGAAACGACCGACAAATTACACAAAGCACTTTATCTCAAAAAATAAGCAAATTCTATAAAGCATGGCTAACAAATCACTTGTTTCATTATTCTTTATTGTGAAAATACATTAATCATTGTAAATTGAAAATACTATATCTTATATTAACTCGTTAAAGTTGTTTCAATATCAACTCCTTCACGAACTTTAAAAATTAATTTATATTCTGGTGGACGATAATCGAAATCGTGGCCTTTTCCTGCATCAAGATTAATCTTTATCGGTTCATTGGTAAATAGATCTTTTTCCAACTCAAAATCAAATACTGCTAATGTATGACCGATAAATGTAAGCATATTACAGTAAGCCAAGTTGTTTCCTATGCATGTTCGGCGTCCACGACTAAATGACTATTAACAAAGAATATATTAATTATTAATAATGAATATACTTTATAACTGATAATTACCCATGGATCAAGAAACTCGTCGTATTGTTTTAAATGTCCATCGTCATCCAAATATCGCTCAGGACGAAATTCATGTGGTTCGTCATGAAGTAGAGGGTTAGAGTGAATCGCATTGAAATTAATTACGATTCCAGTATTTGCGGGAATATGATATCCATTATAAATTTCATCCTGAGAGCTGCAATGTGGGGGACTTAAATTTACAACTGTCCTGTTTATTGAAAAATTTTATTAAATCTCTAATAAGAAGAAAATGAATAGAATAAAATACTTTCTTACCTAAATCGCAAACTTTCTTTTATAGTAGCTTTCAAATAATGTAAGTCAGCATTATGATCCATAGTGTAAAACTTTCCTTTGCCAACAACTCTATCTAATTCCTGTTGAATTTTACGTTGGACTTTAGGATAATTAGCTAAAGTAGCAAAAATCCAATCTAAAGCACCACTTGTTGTAGGAACTCCCGCAATCATTAAATCCGAACAAATAGTCAGCACATCATAATTATCAAAAATATATTTTCCATTTTCATCTTTTTCAAATTCGTGTGTATGTGGAGAGGCGACGAATGCTGGGTCGACAGTAACCGATTTTAAAGTTTCAGCAGAAACACAAGTTTCTGAATCTGGTCCGTTTTCGATTATTCGATTCTTGATTTGCTGTAATAGACCATTAGCGAATTCATTCATTTCTGCTTCTAATTGTCGTGCTTCTCTCTCAAAGATCTTTTGAAGACCAAAATATTTTAGCCAGCCAAATACTGATAATAGACTGCCTTTAATATCCCCAAATTCAAAAAACTTTTTTATTAAATAATCGTAACGCTCTAAAATAGCGGAATCATTTGCTAATTCGCCAAATATAATCGTCGTTAGTATTTTTGTAATAGAAAATCTAATATCAGCAGTAGGACTTTGAGCAATATTGTTGCCTAGAGACTTCAAATGCAATTGCTGTAAAAATATTTTCATGTTATCGCATATTATTGGAAAGTACATATTATCGATTATATGAGGACGGATTGCTTGCAACTCGAGTGTTCTCATTGTTTTCCACCAGCTGGAATTCTGAAATAAACTTTAATAAGCCTTTTATGCCGGATAATCAGTAATTAAAAAGAAATCAAAGTTACCGGAGCAAGACCCACACTTTTGCTGTCATGAGTAAGAATATCCGTTAGACCAAATACCACGCGCGAAGAAAAAGTAGCACCACGTGAGACAAATAAATCTTTTGCTATCTTATGGTCATTAATAACAATCCAAGTAAGTTGTCCTAAATGTACTTTGAAAATCGGTCCAAACGATTTAGACATTTTTGTGAAATTCTGGTGCATTGATGATAATCCAAGTTGATGTAAATTTCCGATAATTGGTAAAGGAGTTGGACCTGGAAGCTCAATAGAACTTCCTTTTGGTTTACTTTTCGACTTAATTTGCCAATAAATTATTAAAATAAATAAAATATAGATTTCAACCATAAATTCCATTGTTGAAAGCTTTTTTTAAAAAAAGAAAAAATACGAGTTATTTTAAACTACATGTACATGTGTAATTTTCTATATTTGTATATGATCGCTAACTAGATGTAATTTTTCCCCAAGTTCTTGATACTTGATGACGAACCTTTCGTCACAACATTTGAAAATGTCCGACGAATGATAACGAATAACGAAACCTTCTGACCAATAAAACACTAGCTCGTAACTCACGATGAATCAATAATACATGTACATGTGTTGATTTCACGAAACCTTTCGCCATGGCCACTTTAGAAATGTAAGTGGCGAATGACGAATTCGTCTCTGACGAATGACAATTTTGGCAAACTAAACCATAAAAACAATAGATCAAGTCAAGCTTTATCAATTTATCGGTTCACTATTGTCACTTTTGTTAATAATCGTTCGATGTTTCCCAATTATCTTGATTTGCGATGAATTATTGTTCTTCCAGCAATCACTATCGTTACGTGCGTTAATTTTTGAAGAACGACGGGATATTCAAAATACAAGAAAAAAAAGGTAATGTCATTCATAACAAAATATTTCTAAATTTGGTTTTTCAATGCAAGTCGTACAAGAGACCAATTATGGAGATTATTATGGGATGATATTCATGTGGGAATTAAGGGTCAAAATTTATGGGATTAAAGGATTTAATGTTACTTCGGTAACAATACATGTACGTAGTCAAACTTTATGATAAATCATTAGGAACTATATACGACCCGCAAAAAGCATTCAAATGGTATCTACGAGCTATGAACACAATGAAGTACTCGGTCAAAACAGGTCGGATATTTCTTTCTATCTGTTTGGAGTTGGGATAGAAAGAAATATCGAGTTTTCTACTGGTATCAAAAATCAGCGGATCTAATTTCGGATTTAATTTCGGATCCTGTTATCGATGTGGAAATTCATGCAAGGAGAAATTATAAAATGTGTTTTATTGGTACTCTAAAATTGTGCAAGTGTAATTATGGTTCAGGCACGAATGTTGGTATACATGTACATCACGTTTTGAAGTTATCTCGAGTCGAAAAATTTGGATGCGATATATACATTCTGAAAATGATACATCCAGGTCTTTTCTTGTGCAAGATTAACTTCTCATTTTTCTGAATACAAGACTTTTAGAATAAAATTTCAGTTTTTCATAACGCTAAATAATTCATGTAAAACAGTCTTTATAGAATTTCTTCAAAACATTTTTCTTTCAACCAGAGTAATAAACATTTTTGGATTGGATGAATTCCACAAATAGTCATTCGAACCAAATAAAGTCAAGCGTTATACATGTACATGTATAACGATAACTACGCACGTAACTCTTTCAACGTACGTAATCACTTCTATGCTCAGTATCGGTAAAAAGGAGTAGTATCCTAGCCACGGCAAAAAAAAGTGGCAGATCATGTGATTCCAATGCCGACCATCCGATATCCCCTTTAAAATTATAATGCATAATATTAAATAAATTTCGGTTATGGTTAGGTTTAAGGTTAGGTTTATGTTTAGAGTTAAGGTTATTCTATAATAAACGGGAATGTAATGTATAGTAAAATTTCGCAAGGAACATTTTTAATTAAAGCACAAAAGATAGTTTCATAGGCAAAATTTAAGATATAAGCTATTTTTCAAAAATAAGCATTTGTTTTGTTTATTTTTGAATTTTTGCGTTGCACGTTGATCTTGCGATTTGATTGGTGCATAATTTTAAGGGGGATATCGGCTGGTCGGCATCGGGATCGGAATCGCATGATCTGCCACTTTTTTTTGCCGTGGCTAGGGTACTTAAAAAGGAGTTGATTACGTAGTGACCATTGGCAGATTCAACATTCATTATCGTTATCGTTATTATTGTCATTCGATAAATATTAAGACATGTATACAAAAATCAAATATTTTAATTGATTAATATTGTAATCAGACCATCGATAACGTATATGAAAAATTTGAAGAGTAAGATTTAGTTTATAATTTAATTTAACGTTAAGAATATCGATATTCTGATATTACCATTACGACAATTTTTCAAGTACATGTACTGTAACACCATTTCTCCATGGATAACAATAAATCTTTCTTTTTGCCACCACCCCAAGATTACAGTTTTCGCAGGATTTTATGATAAAAAGTCATTCGGGTTGACTCGTTTTTAGAAGTCATTTTTGTATAGCTTCCCATCGAAATTTTTATTTGTTATGTGTTTGATCATGGAAGAAAAGAAAGACATAAACATGTAAATGAAAGACAACTATTTTCGAAAACCGTAATAAAATAAAAAAATGGACTTTTTAATATTAAAGAAAGAATCCAAGGTATTTTTCACATCGGCGATAAATCTTCTTCTCTGAAAATATCACAAAATTTATCATAAATTACACTATTTTCAACTCTTTGGTAAGTTTTATAAAGACACTTAATTGCCGCATGAACATCAACAAGGGTGCCACGTCCCTGTTCATAGCATTCTCCAAGCATTATTATTCGATAACCACACATATACCAACCACACAAGTTTAACCAATAAAACGCTTTCCTCTCATCGCATTCCACACCATCCCCGTTAAAATAAAGTGATCCTAGATAATATTGTGCATCGGGAACATTCGCATTCGCAGCTTTCCTAAGCCAACACACCGCTTTCTCCATATCTTGGTCGACGCCTAGCCCGAAATAATATGCACACCCCACATTTGACTGTCCATAAATACTTCCAGATTTAGCGGCTTTAAGATAATTTTCGAACGCTTTGGACAAATTTTGAACAGTTCCATCGCCACGTTCGTAACAATCACCCAAATCATTTAATGATTGCATGTGTCCGTTTTCGGCGGCAATTTGAAACCATTCGAATGCAGATTTTGACGATTCTTCGGTAAAGACTCTCCATTTAAATGAAGTGGCAAGACAGTAGGAGAGTGTGGGTGAGTCGTAACGATGTCTCCAAACTGCTTTAAATATTAAGTTGTTGTCTACATGTTCTTCTTGTTGCCATTTTTCTATTTTTTCTGCGAATTCACTCGAACATAAATTATTTATTTCGTCAGCAATATTTTGAAGTTTTTGGACTATTGACAATTCTTTCTTTATCTCGTCATTTTCAAAATTGTCGATCATTATGATTGAACACTCGGAGAAATAACTACGTACATTTAATGAATAAACGTTCGTGCACATGCAGTACATGTATTTCATTTGTTAACGTTAATGCATGTTGTGTTCTTGTGTCATTTTTCATGCATATGTACATGTACGTATCGGTATTGCTTCATGTATATCGACATGGTTTCTGAAATTTCGATTATTGCGTGTCACAATACGCAGATTCATGATTGTATGATTGTCAAAGAAAGAAGTTCGTACTGTGATGAGTGTTCAGTTCACAATACTCATTATTGCTGATTGTCAAAAAAAAATAAGTACTGCGAGGGATGCTCACAAACGAATTTATAAAGCTGAATGGTTTAGTGGTAATAAAGATATCGATATCGACTGTTTAATAAATGAATGCATGAAATTAATGATAAATTCGAATGGATCCCTTCAAAAGGAGGTTTTGGATCAATTTATGAGGCAATCTGGTTGGACGGACCAATGAACTATCAAAGTGGGATCATGAAGGAAATAAATTTAAACGACATGGCGAACGCGCGAAGTTATGTTGAAATCATTACAAATTCAAAGCAAATTGCATCGGAGTTTATAAACGAGGTAAAGTGTAAGCATATTGCTTTTTTGTTTTTCAATTTAATTAACTTTTTCAAATTAGATTCTGACTGCTCTAAAGTGCGGACGCTTTCATGACTTTATTAAATATTATGAAAATGAATACTCGATGCAAAAGATGGGATCTACGCAAATATATAAATTCTAAATACGAATTGACTTGGAACAAAAAATTAAAATATTTAAGGAGTATTAAGGATTGAATAAAATTCACAATGAGGAATTTGTGCATCGTGACCTTCATCCTGGAAATATATTAATGTTGTTTAATGCTTTCATTACTGATTTTGGGACTTACCAAACCAACAGATATAGAAAAAGTTGATCAAAAAATTCGCGGAACACTTTCTTATATGAGTCCAGAGGTACTTACCGTTACAAGCAATACACTAATCTGCAGACATTTATAGCTTTGGGCTGATTATGTACAAAATTGTAATAGGCGAACTATCATTCGGTGAGCGGAGTCATGATCATTATCCTAAAACACGTGGAGAAATTAGAGAGTGTCTTAAACTAGAAAGACAGAACTTGACGAGGAATTGCAAAAAGCATGCCTACGAATACGAACAAAAAAACAACCAATCCAGTTTACACCAGTCGAATCTCTACCTCAAAATCAATAGCAATTTCAACTAATACAGGTATTTTTTTTTATTTCTAAAGATAAATCACATTGACATTTCATATTAATTAAAAATCTTTAGGCGCCACAAGAGTCCGTTTGTATGTTCCTCAATTTTAGCATACCATACGAAATCAAAGAGAATGAAGATATATCGAGTGTCTTACAAGAAAAATTACAACCATGTGAAATCAAAGACAATGAATAAATTAATGACGAACAACTCCGTCAAAATATGGCGATATCAAAAGAAAAATACTGTACTTTGCTAAAAGAAAATGGTAAATACTTTATTTTATTAAATTAAATTATCAATATCGACATCAGATTGATAAGACCTTTTTAAAAAATTAAGTCCAAATGCCTAAAACTATTCAATTGAATGAATTAAAATAAAGAAGATTCAACTAAATATTATAAAGAGTAATTAATTTATAAACTTTAGTATTTTTTTATAAAATGTATAAGTTGTTTAAGATTGAGTATTCATCATTTTTCATCTCCGTATCGATCCGGATAAATTTTGAAAAAATACATAATTTCATTCACGAAGTTCAACAATTGATTTTCAGGGTGTGTGTGAGGTTCCAATTAAAAACTACAGGAAATGATAAATTACATTTACTGTTGTTTTAGGTTTACAGCCTCTGGATATAAACTTTCGCTCACGGTAATATTAAGTTACAGCAAAGATCTAAAAGAAACTTCCCAAGAGATGTGGTCGTAGCTTCTGCAAGTCACGGAAATATGCATGGAGATTTGATGCTTTCTACATATATTCCGCAAGTCATTTGAGCAAGCCGGATGGGTTTTTAAAAATAAAGGCATTATATTTGTCGAATGTCATGGAAGCCATATACGTGATGATGTAATAATACTGAGGGTTTGGAGGTTATAAAAATCCCCGGTGGAACAATTAGCGTATTACAATCACCTGATGTCTCTGTATACAAACCATTTAAAAGTGGGATGAGAAAAAATGAGATGGATGAATGGAGAAAAAGAATTTACAACAAGAGGAAATCGCAAAAAAGCATCGTACGAACTAATTTGCGAGTATCAGAAACGTGGAAAGAAATTAATCAAGAACTCTTAACAAAATTCTTCGAAGCAACTGGACTTACGTTGAATCCTGATGGAGGTGAAAATAGCAAATTGTCAAAAGTAAATTATTGAGAATCGTATGAATGATGTAATTGTGGGGAAGTCTGAAGAGGATGACATATTAACGACGGATGAATTGGATCTTGAAAATATGATAGAATTGATGATGAAATTGGTATAATGAAACTAGTAAAGCTTTTTTTAAAAATTTCTCTGTTTTTTCTCTAAGGGTTTTCTTGGTTGCGGCCTTCCTAGTTTTATCGGCTGCTATAAATTAAATATTTGATGATAAATCTAGAGATAATTTCGATTAAAATATGAAAAGCGAGTTTCTTATTTGTCATGAATTAAATATTAATTTGCCTGAGTTTTTAGTAGCTATTGTAAAAAAAATCGTAAATTCGTTTTGATGGTCCATATTCGCGCGCTTACCATTCGAATCATTTAAATTTATGTTTTGTATCCAAGTGCGCGTTATTTCGGGCGTTATTTTGAGCCAAATATGCAGTTTTTAAAAGTGCGAATTTCGAAATAACGATCATGGGCGTGATTACGCGTTTATACGGTATTTTCTAAAAATTTAAGATTAACTAGACTAGGACCTGTAAGAGTGATTTTTAATAGTCTATTCCAATGCAAAATTATTTAATTTCCTTTTAACTAACAAAATTGATGGATAATTCGCTTATACAACCTTCAAAAAACAATTTGTTTCCGACTAAATACGTTAGATGCACTTTTAATATGAATAAAAAAATCGGTATAGCGATAGGAAGTTAATTTATTATGCATGACTTGAGATACAGATTTTAAAAGCTTATAACTTTTCAAGAAAAAAAGATATTATTCTTAAAATAGTATTAAACTATAGTATAAAGAATATAGTTTAATTGCATGTTGAGTTTTTTAACAATTCAATAATAAAAAAAGTTAAAAAAAATATTAATAATAAAATGTTTATACAAAAATTTAAAAGCTTATTTTCAAGGAAAAAAGATATCATTCTCAAAATAGTACCAAAATATAATATAATATAAAATAAAATATATAATGTATTTCGAGTATTTTTACATCTCATTTAAACTTAATACGTACATAGAACACTTCACACCCAAATGACCTGGGAAATAACTTTTTATAAAACACACATACATATCGACATAACTTGATTATAAAATTAAGCAATCTTTTTTACTTCTGGCATCAGATGAGCTTTCACTTTCATCGTATTCACTTTCATCATATTCACTTTCATCATATTCACTTTCATCGCATTCACTTTCATCATACTCACTTTCATCATATTCACTTTCATCATATTCACTTTCATCATATTCATTTTCATCATATTCACTTTCATCATATTCACCTTCATCATATTCACTTTCATCATATTCACCTTCATCATATTCACCTTCATCATATTCACTTTCATCATATTCACTTTCATCATATTCACCTTCATCATATTCACTTTCATCATATTCACTTTCATCATATTCACTTTCATCATATTCACTTTCATCATATTCACCTTCATCATAGTCACTTTCATCATATTCACCTTCATCATATTCACCTTCATCATATTCACCTTCATCATATTCACCTTCATCATATTCACCTTCATCATATTCACTTTCATCGCATTCACTTTCATCATATTCACTTTCATAATGTTCACTTTCATCGCATTCACTTTCATCATATTCACTTTCATCATATTTACTTTCATCGCATTCGCCTTCATCGAATTCACCTTCATCGCATTCACTTTTATTGTATCCAGTTTCATCACATGCGACTGAAGCTTCGTATTCGAGTTCAGTTTCATTATCGAGGATATCTTCGGATTCGGTGTTTGTATTACTTTCTTCAGACAAATTTTGTTCAAAGAATTGCCAATTTTGAAATTCCTTTTGACTTCGTTGATTGTTCCGTAAGCGTGTGGCCTTTTTTACTCTTTTTTTCGTCTCGTATTTATATTCTTTTCTTTGAAGATATGGAACCACTATGGTAGAGAAAAGTATATTGATTAATTAGATAATTACCTCTTAAAAAATATATACAATATTATATTGTATTTTACCTTTCTTTTTATGCACGCGATCAGTAAAAGAATATTCCATTTATTTATCTGGTTATATTATTTTTTTTCATGATAAAAATTACCAAATAAGCTGCATAGTAATATAATTCATTCAGGAATAAATAATTGCTCGTACCAAATACTCTGCTTGTTAGTTTCCTCTTTGATTTGAGTGGTCATTGACCGAAGTAGAACTATTTCAGTAGTATAATAAACGTGCGAATTTTTTGACTTGATTCAATATTTTTTGACTATCCTTCCTTTTATAAATACATGTACGTATATAGTAAATGAAATGTTACATTTTATAGTCATGTAAAATCTAGCATATTGCAAAAATCATATTTGCTCTTACAGAATGCTCCGGTTTATCGGTTTCTTCTTTGAACTGAGTGCTTTCCAACCGAGGAAGAATTTCTTATCGCAATCTAATCAACTAAATTGTTGTGCATAAAAACGTCTTACCTCTTTCAATAATACTTTTGGACAAATTGCTTTTAATTACACATAAGAAAATAACCACTCTTTACGAGAGTTTGATAAATTAGAATTCTCATCTTCCATTCAGGAATCAAACGAAATAGATTTTCATCATTGCGATGACGAAATCTTTGACTGTGTATTGCTAGTCGACATTATTTGTTTATACGCTTGACCACAAAATGCGAACGCGTCGTTTCTTAAATTAAGAAAGGTCGATTCGCCGTCAAATTTGACATTATCAATCAAGCTTTTACAAAGATGCGTAAAAGTTCGAGATCTTTAACGCTAAAGATAGGGTTACATTACAGAAAATCAATCGACTCTTTTGTGTTAAGTTTAAAGCTTCTGATTTGCTCGAACAAGTTAATGATATTGAGCCAATGCATAAAAAATACAACCCCAATAAATTCGTCCTTTGATAACTTATTCAAACTGAGTATCCCAATATGAAAATAACAAAGCTTTTGAAAGCACTAGAAAGAGATCTATCATCGATAGATAGAGAAAACAATATTTGTAAATTGAGAGTCATCGTTTTCTTTAGAGATTTTTGCATAAATTCGGATAGGGTCTTTGAGTTATTAGTTATAAAGGTCATTTATATAAAAAAGTAGCTAGTGTGCTAATCTTTTTGGTAAAATAAGGTTCGAAATAAACGAGAATTGCCGATTCCCGTAATAACTTCACCGTTATTTAGAATTATTTCAAATCTTGCTTTATTATTTCTGTCATTTGCAGCATCATAAAATTAATTCGAAATCAATTTAATAAGATGTGAGAAAATTTGTACGCGTGTGAATAAGAACAAGATCATCTTAATATCGGTATTATTTATTTTAAATACTTTCTTCTAGATTTTACTTTGTCCCAAGAGGTGTGACTATAGCGAAGAATGCAAGTTAATGTTCAAAGAAAGCATAAAAAGATATCGATATAATCATAATCATAATCATAATCATAATGTTGATGTTGATGTGTAGCCACACAAAATTTTATAAATGTTTGCTCGCCCGTTTACATATTTGCTAAAAATTTGAGAGTAACTAGACGAAGACCTGGGAAACGTTTTTTATTATTAGCAATATCGTGTTAAAACTTGATGTGGTGGTCAATCTTACGTTCAAAGTTCACAGATGAATTTTGATCTTTCGAAACTTGTAAATAATCATTTGTTTACTATGTTATAAATTTCAACACAGAGAACAAGTTTACAAAGGGTTATTGTATTAATGAAAAATCGAAATGTTATAGTAGTATCCTTATACATGTACTTTCTGTACATGTACATGGCATTAAAAGAATCTGGGACAAATTTGGCCAAGATATGTCAAATATGTATAACAATATCAATAAGGTCGCCTTTTGTTTTAATATTCAAATGTAAAATTAATTCTGTTCTTAGTTTTTAATTTGTGCATAATGAATAACCGTAATTGAGAAATAAAGAATCTTAAGCTATTTTGTGGGTGGGAATTACTCATCTCTTGAATCAGTTACATATACAGACTCCTATTAATTGATGATTCTAATAAATTCGCACGTTTATTATGCTACTGAATTAAAACCAACAAGTTCTTCGGTCAATGATCACTCAAATCAAAGAAGAGGAAACTAATAAAGCAGAGTATTTGGTACGAGCAATTCTTCATTCCTGAATTATTATATTGTTATGCAGCTTATTTGGTAATTTTTATCATGAAAGAACGAATATAATCAGATAAAATAAATGGAATACTCTTTTACTGATCGCGTGCATAAAAAGAAAGGTAAAGTACACGTGCATAAAAAGAAAGGTCAAGTGCACGTGCATAAAAAGAAAGGTCAAGTGCACGTGCATAAAAAGAAAGGTCAAGTACATGTGTATAAAAAGAAAGGTAAAGTACACGTGCATAAAAAGAAAGGTAAAGTTCACGTGTATAAAAAGAAAGGTAAAGCACAAGAGAATATTATGTATATATTTTAAAGAGGCAATTATCTAATTACCATAGTGGTTCCATATTACTCAGGCGAAATAATTGATTACCTTCCAGGTAAAGTACACGTGCATAAAAAGAAAGGTCCATTACACGTGTATAAAAAGAAAGGTAAAGTAAAGATAATAAATATATATTTTTTAAGAAGCAATTACCTAAATAATCAATATAAAAAAGCAATCCATTCTTTTTACCATAATATTTACATTTTTTTTACCATAGTGGTTCCATATTACTCAGACGAAACACTTGATCAACTTCCAGGAAAAGAATATGAAAAAGCATTTAAATACGAGACGAAAAAAAGAGCAAAAAAGACCACACGCTTACGGAACAATCAACGACGTCGAAAAGAATTTCAAAATTGGCAATTCTTTGAACAAAAATTTGTCTGAAGAAAGTAATAAAAAAAACACTGAATCTGATGATATCCTCGAATGAACCTGACCTCGAAAGCGAATGCGCACTTTTTTATGTGTGATTGTGATAACGATGATAAATGAAGAAACGAATGCGAAGATCCAGTCGAATGTGATGAAACTGGGTACAATAAAAGTCTGGGTACGGAAAGTGAATGCGAATGCCAAAAGTAAAAATATTTTAATCAAGTTATATGCATGTGTGCTTTATCGTAACGATATCAATATATAGCGATAATAGTTATTCACGGGAAGCTGACATATATTAAATTGAAATAGTTTAAATCAAATTATGATATGAACGTATTCCCAAAAAATATACTGCTTTTTAAACCACTAATAATTTTGCATTGGAACAGACTATTAAAATCCACTCTTACATGAAGGATTAATGATGCGGGCCGATGACAAAATCTCGGGCCGAGGCTGAGACTAATGAGACGCAGGCGGGTCGACCAGGCAGATCGGGTTAAGTATTGTAGGATTTACATAAATCTATTGAAATGATCGGTATAGTGCCCACCCCGTCCCTATATAACGTTCATGAAAAACCTGCCTTATTACTTTTTTATCCTCCCTCTTGTGAGTTCCAGCTGCTTACACATCATAATCCTGTACAGAAACGTGCACAATTGGTTGGTTGGTACATTACTAAAGCTCTGTTCAAGTCGGGTCGGATCGGGTTTGAGGTCAACCCGAACCGATAATTTCGGGTCGGGTCGAATTCGGATCAGGTTTGATCCGAAAATGGTAAAATAGTTTTTCATTAATAACATCAGGAAATTTTTTGGGGTGATATTCATTGAGAATCATCGCCATATCTGTAAAAATCGATAAATATCTCTCTGAAATATCGATATTAATCGATGACTCTAATGATCTTTGATAAACATCTATATTGATAATCATCGATCATTGTTAATATATTATTTATCGATATATAATAATATATCGATCATTATCGCAATATATTATTT